TATTTTTATGTTGTTTTTTACGTCAAAAGACCCGCAACTCTGGAGGCAAGCTGGTCACGTGACCAAAACTATAAATAAATGCAAACAGTTTAGTTTTAAATAGAACTCTTGTTATAGAGAAGCGACAAAACATGTTCACACAGAGAACATTTGAATTGAAAGCTAAACAAAACTTGTGTCTCTGTATACACGACAAATGAATAAAAAAAAACTTCGCGGCAAAAAAAATAATTATGATCTGTATTCATGTATTTGATATACAATAGCATACCTATAGAAAAATACTTAATTTATTTAGAAAATATACAACTTTAACAAGTTTCAGCGCCCCCCCCTCCCCCCCGTCAAATTTAAAGTGGCCCTCTTTGGAAGCTTCAAGTGACCCCACCCCCCCCCCCCAACTCGCCGAGGAAAAAAGTGTTTAAAAGAGACCTTGATATAGATTCAATTGACGCATTACTTAATTTAACAATATATATATATATTGAAACGGCTGATCATCAATACAAGTTATTTCTCAAAGATAGCCTCGCGCTGTTAACTTTCAGCTGACGCAGCGGTTCCCCCCCCCCCCCCACCGGTACCAACCGCTGATGGTGAGTACAGTACCATCAGCCTGTAACAAACATGGCGAGTACACAGTGGAAGCCCGACCTTGCCCCTTCACGTGCGACTGGAAACACGTGAGCGTGTGTGTGTGGGTGAGTGCACATGTAAGTCACGAGCAGCTTTTCAATGGTGCAGCGGTAATGCATCACACCTTCGACAGGTGAGGCTCAAATGTTTACCCAGGTCTTTGATCTTGGCCTAATTAAGATTTGGCTGATGAATTTATTTTTAATAACAAAAAAAAATTGTAAAAGAACGCCGCTGTATACAGAAACAATCCGTTAATTTCATCTAATTACCTAACCCGATTATGAAATCATGCTTGAATTCCCCCCCCCCCCCCTCGCCAACCCCCACCCGTCGATTCGTTCCCACAAGTTACACATAAAATATTTGGCAAATAGGGTTTAGGGTAGTAATTAACGGGCGTGACTTAATTTTAAAATAATCAATGCACACCACTAATACCACTAAACAATTAAAACGTGTAACGAAATTGTGAATGATTTAGGTCAAATAAATTCAAATCTAAATTAGCGACCAGTGTGGGGGATGCACCAATGCAATGTGTATCTACATTTCAAAAGATAAAAACGAAAGCAATCTATTCTAATCATTGAACAATACAGTAGCCTTCTCCAGTTTGTTTCTTGATGTATCGTCTTTTTTAGGGTCGACATGATAATTGATTCCCCCCCCCCCCCCCCCCAACTTCACACGAACACGCCAGTTGGGTGACGCACACCACATCAACTGTGTGACGCATCCCTCCCGTCACTGAAGCAACAACCACAACAGTTATTTGACGCCCCCCCCCCCCCCACACACACACCACGTCAGTTAGGTGATGCACCCCCCCCCTCCATTGAAGCAACAACCACACCTGCTCCTGCTGCGTGAAGCACCACCTACAACACACCTGCTGTATGAAGCACCACCTACAACACACCTGTAACATGAAGCACCACCTACACCACACCTGCTGTATGAAGCACCATCTACAACACACCTGCTGTATGAAGCACCACCTACAACACACCTGTAACATGAAGCACCACCTACAACACACTTGCTGTATGAAGCACCACCTACAACACACCTGCTGTATGAAGCACCACCTACACCACACCTGCTGTATGAAGCACCACCTACAACACACCTGCCGTATGAAGCACCACCTACAACACACCTGTAACATGAAGCACCACCTACAACACACTTGCTGTATGAAGCACCACCTACAACACACCTGCTGTATGAAGCACCACCTACAACACACCTGTAACATGAAGCACCACCTACAACACACCTGGTGTATGAAGCACCACCTACAACACACCTGCTGTATGAAGCACCACCTACAACACACCTGTAACATGAAGCACCACCTACAACACACCTGTAACATGAAGCACCACCTACAACACACTTGCTGTATGAAGCACCACCTACAACACACCTGCTGTATGAAGCACCACCTACAACACACCTGTAACATGAAGCACCACCTACAACACACCTGGTGTATGAAGCACCACCTACAACACACCTGCTGTATGAAGCACCACCTACAACACACCTGGTGTATGAAGCACCACCTACAACACACCTGCTGTATGAAGCACCACCTACAACACACCTGCTGTATGAAGCACCACCTACAACACACCTGCTGTATGAAGCACCACCTACAACACACCTGCTGTATGAAGCACCACCTACAACACACCTGCTGTATGAAGCACCACCTACAACACACCTTGTATTTTCTCGACTCCCCACGTTAGGTTGTCGTTATTTAAAAAAAAATAATTGCTGCGGCGGCGATTAGGGGGTGGGTTGGGGAGGAGAAGGGTGGCGGGGGTAAGCGTCTAAACAACAAGTGTACTTGTCCCTTCCTGGCAACCTTAGGATGACTGGCAATGTCCATGTTTACTGCAATATTTTTAAAAACCACCCTCAACCTATTCTTGAAGTCAACCGGAATGGCCAGGGAGAGTAAAACAATGAAAGTCAGATCTACAGTGCATAGCGTAGTATTGTATTTATGTTAAATAATATATCTTTCCCTATCACCACAACATCCTAACTATACTAATCTAAATAAAAAATAAAAGTGTTTGCTAAAATACTGTTATATTACTAGTAATTATTTATATGAATATTTCTTGTCTTAATAAAACCGGAAGTCATCTCGTACTTAATACACAAATGTTCAATTTTGGTTGAAAAATATGCTTTCTGGCAACACAAATTTGGAACCACTTTTCAAGTCTATTTAGCGTCATAAAGATAACCATTTCATAGAATTTTATCAAGAAAGACAGGAGAATGAAAATATTCCTGCTCACTGTAAGTTTACTGTTATTTAACTGTCTCATACTTGAGCTTTTTATTTCAGGAACGTTTTAACTTTTTCTTCGATAAAATAACTTCCTCTGATTCCCCCCCCCCCCTAGGTAAATTTTTTACCTCTTGACGTCACGGGAGCAGAGCGGGTACACAGGTGTGTTGCTGGTGTTTCTGCTTACCTTGCTCATTCCGGAACAGCCAGGCACGTGAATCTGTTGTGTGCCAGAAGGGGCATAACTCTGCCCGTTTCTTCCTGCAACACACGCCTGTACTCCAAAATACGGTTTATTTCTACCTGCAACACACGCCTGTACTCCAAAATACGGTTTATTTCTACCTGCGAAAACACGCTCGCACTCCGAAATGTGTTTATTTTACCTGCAACACACGGTCCTACCCCAACACACGGTCCTACCCCAACACACGGTCCTACCCCACGGTCCTACCCCAACACACGGTCCTACCCCAACACACGGTCCTACCCCAACACACGGTCCTACCCCAACACACGGTCCTACCCCAACACACGGTCCTACCCCAACACACGGTCCTACCCCAACACACGGTCCTACCCCACGGTCCTGACCCACGGTCCTATATCACCCCACGGTCCTACCCCACGGTCCTACCCCAACACACGGTCCTACCCCAACACACGGTCCTACCACAACACACGGTCCTACCCCACGGTCCTACCCCAACACACGGTCCTACCCCAACACACGGTCCTACCCCACGGTCCTGACCCACGGTCCTATATCACCCCACGGTCCTACCCCACGGTCCTACCCCAACACACGGTCCTACCCCAACACACGGTCCTACCACAACACACGGTCCTACCCCACGGTCCTACCCCACGGTCCTGACCCACGGTCCTATATCACCCCACGGTCCTACCCCAACACACGGTCCTACCCCAACCCACGGTCCTACCCCAACACACGGTCCCACCCCACGGTCCTACCCCAACACACGGTCCTACCCCAACACACGGTCCTACCCCACGGTCCTGACCCACGGTCCTATATCACCCCACGGTCCTACCCCAACACACGGTCTTACCCCAACACACGGTCCTACCCCAACGCACGGTCCTACCCCAACACACGGTCCTACCCCACCCCACGGTCCTGACCCACGGTCCTATATCACCCCTCGGTCCTACCCCAACACACGGTCCTACCCAATGGTATATTTTCTACCTGCAAAAAACCCAATCCTAATCCAGAAACACACATTTGTCTACCTATAAACCATGGTGGGCCTATACTCTGTAGATCTATAGAACAACTGCCCATCCTTCCCCCCGTACATAAGTTTCTGGCTATTTAAGAATCCAATTGTGGACTACGGTATTAACAACTGGCAAATACACGGGTAAACAACTGGGTTTTTATTTTATTTTACTTGTTCAGACGGTAAAACCCAAGACTATTGGATGTTTATTTTATTAAAAACCTGAAAGTTATTGCCTTAAAATTATTAAATTTCAAAAACCTTGCCCAAGGAGGAAAAAATGGACAATAGAGAAACTAGAACAATAGAAAATCTAGACCAAGATTTAAACGTATAGCATCGAAGACTGCTGCTAGGGTTAGCTTCGTTTATATGCTGGCTTTTTCTCTCTACCCCTGCACAACTGAACTAAGGTTCATTGCAAATCTAATGTTGATAACTCACTTTTACACATGCACTCAAAATAAACACAAAAATAAAAGATTTACCAGAGATAACCGAACTTTTAAAACAGAAACTACACAAATCCGGAGAGAATAATGTCCCCTCCTCCAGAAATTTCACCACGAATTTATTTAAACGGGTCTTCTTGCCTCGAGCTTTGCCGACTTTAAAGTGCGACCATACACCGTGTTTACTCACCTCAACGCCTAGAGAGAAAAAATACAGGTGCTTCATGAAAACGTCACAACGCAAACAGAATAAAAAAAGGTAAGTTTGAAGTTTAAAGGTTTAGCTTTAACGTCTTAAATTTTAACACTAGGGTATCACGCTAGGCGATAGAAAAAAAATGTATGTACCGGTGTCTCGTCTGCTAAGGTTTCAGTTACGAAGGTGATGGTATCCCAGTGTCTGTGAGGATAGTCAGCCCCGACAGCAGACGATTGCTGGTAATAAGCCTTTGGTACACACAACCACCACAGAAAGTGATGACGTAGTCAGCACTCACCCAAACGGGGCACGTCTTATAGGTAAAGGATGGATAAGATATGATGTGTACGGGGGTGGGGGCGGGATAGGGGGTGGGGGGACAGGATGGAACCAGACAGAGGTGTACATTGTGGGGATCAGACGATAAACAGCCACCCCCACCCCCAGGCCAGGAGAGTGGTTGATTAACCTGCCACGCGCAGACGATGAGATTTCGCGCGCTCACAATTCTAGCGTTTATTACAGGCGGATGGGGCGGTACATAGCTCAGACATGTACAATGTTTCAGGGGACAGAACCCACACTTCAATAATGTTTCAGGGGACAGAACCCACACTTCAATAAAGTTTCAGGGGACAGAACCCACACTTCAATAAAGTTTCAGGGGACAAAACCCACACTTCAATACAGTTTCAGGGGACAAAACCACACTTCAATAAAGTTTCATGGGACAAAATCCACATTTCAATAAAGTTTCAGGGGACAAAACCCACACTTCAATAAAGTTTCAGGGGACAAAACCCACACTTCAATAAAGTTTCATGGGACAAAATCCACATTTCAATAAAGTATCAGGGGACAAAACCCACATTTCAATAAAGTTTCAGGGGACAAAACCCACATTTCAATAAAGTTTCAGGGGATAAAACCCACATTTCAATAAAGTATCAGGGGATAAAACCCACATTTCAATAAAGTATCAGGGGACAAAACCCACATTTCAATAAAGTTTCAGGGGACGAAACCCACATTTCAATAAAGTTTCAGGGGACAAAACCCACATTTCAATATAGTTTCAGGGAACAAAACCCACATTCCAATAGTTTTAGGAAACAAAACCCACATTTGAATAAAGTTTCAGGGGGAAAAAAATCACATTTCAATAGTCTTAGTAAACAAAACCCACATTTCAATAGTTTAAGGAAACAAAACCCACATTTCAATAGTCTTAGTAAACAAAATCCACATTTCAATATAGTTTCAGGAGATAAAACCCATATTTCATTTGATACGAGTAAAAAAAATAAGATTCCTATTTCTAAAAATGTTTCAAAACATCCACTACAAAGATGCTTCTATTCTTGTGCCCCCCCCCCCCCCTTTCCACACACAGATTCGCCCACACTAATTAACTGCCAAGGAGGATCTTTTTTTCTGAACTTATTTTGAGAAGCGTAAGATGATTTTCAGTTTCTTATCCCCGGAATCAGAAGTCAGGTGTAAGCAGATCTGTGATTGGATGATGGTGTAAGCTGATCTCTCATTGGATGAAGCTCAAGTATTACAAATATTACCTGCTGTATGCGTGCAAGTGGGTGTCCAGAATCATCAAAACATTAAAATTTTAAAACTCGCATTTTTCACAGGTAAGTCAACAACTGCAGACCACATTGCAGACTGTCAATAGACAGACTGTAACGGCCGCTAATTTCCATCACTGCAGGGTAAACTTACTGAATGTCTATTTGCATTAAATAAGGCTGGTCACGTTCTAGCAATAGGCAAACAAATTTATTTATCTACAGGAGCCTTTGTTTAGTTAAACTGCTGACAGCGTCGTTTTGTCTACTAGGCCTAACCTTAAACTAAACTCGATTTTGGGGCGTAGTCACAAACTATGTTCATCCAACGTGTTATTTCTTCATATACATTTTTTTAAGCTCATGTGAGTGCCAAGACAGTCGAGAGCTTAGAACCGTGGAGAATTTCTTTCCTGTGCTTATTTTTATATTTCCAGTGTGTGCCACGGATATTATCTTAGTGGCGTCAGTAACACCGCATTGTGACGTGTCGACATTACCCCCCCCCCCCTCCGGCCAATCAACCCTGCCACTACCCCCCCCACACCCTATCCAGTTATGTCCTGCTCCAATCACTAGGGTACGTCTCAAATATACGTCTCAAATCAAACAATATGGCACCTAAAAGAAACAGGGCACCTAAAAGAAACAGGGCACCTAAAAGAAACAGGGCACCTAAAAGAAACAGGGCACCTAAAAGAAACAGGGCACCTAAAAGAAACAGGGCACCTAAAAGAAACAGGGCACCTAAAAGAAACAGGGCGCCTAAAAGAAACAGGGCACCTAAAAGAAACAGGGCTACTATTGACTTGGAGCACCTAAACTTACTCGTAGTACCAAGTCAGATGCACTAAAGACAAAGGTACCTACCTACATACACAGAGAATCGCTAGGTGCACTAAAGACAAAGGTACCTACCTACATACACAAGGAAGAGCTCTAGACATTTGAAATAAGAGTTCCGATCTGCAGCAAATAAAATTAGGACTGCCCCCCTCCCCCATCCGCTCTACCACATCCACCACCACCACCACCACCACCACCATCACCACCATACATCAGTTTAGACGCCCTGACATGTAGATATTTCAAGCATCCTCCCAACAATCGTTCAAGTCCGTCGGCTACACATTGAACTATACACACCATGAAATATGTCTCTTCATACACCACATACATGTACCTTCTATTTACATTAGTCTATGGGCAAATGTGTTTTAATTACAGGATAGGGTGATCGGTCGGTAGAGCGCACGACACAACCCACAAGTCTCGAGGTTCGGATTCTTTACTTCAGTCCGTAGGTCGTCGCTGAGTCCACCCAGCTATAATAGGTACCTGACTCATGTTAAAGAAATTAAAGGCAGCTGGACATATGACTGACCGCACCATCTCCTGAAGGCAGAAGTCACAAAACATGCTCTCAAATGAAAAGCGTAAAACGAAACACTATACTTATATTAAACTTGTTTATGTGGCGCATGTTTTTGGCACATTTGTTCCTGCACATATTTACTGACATACATATGTTTGTGGGCACTTATCTCGCGACAGACGATAACCTGGGGTTGTTTATGATGAGCGTATCGCTAGAAGCTAATCTTTACTCTCACTTACCCACCCCCACCCCACTCCCTACACCACCCCACCCCACTCCCTACACCACCACCACCCCACTCCCTCCATCCCTTCTTTTTTTCACTTATCCTAAATACTCACTAACAGGAACAACACGTTTGGCTTACTGCAACATGTAGACTCTACTTGTGACAATCTTATATCATAAATTTGTGGCAACACCACAACAAGGGTTTTATTCGGACATTGATCTACGGGGGGGGGGGGGGCCTCAAAACTTCTGGTGGGGGGGGGAATAATTAAAGTAAATTTTCTGTATAAATTATATATATATATATATATATATATATATATATATATATATATATATATATATATATATATATATATATATATATATATATGTACTTCGTCCCGGGGGGGGGGGGGGGGTCAGGAAGTTGGGAAGATTCCAGAAAAAAAAAGCTGCTTACAACACATGAGCCAGTGACAATCTTACAACATGAGCCTGTGGGAATTTTACAACTCAGTGCTGGACATCTTCACGGTAAGCCGATCGGACTGTCCAGCTGTTGGGTACAGGGATGTACGGGGACTGACCAGCTGACCAGCCTCGCTACAAACCATGGAGGCATGTGTACAGGGATGTACGGGGGACTGACCAACTGTTAGAGTACAGGGGACTGACCAGCTGACCATCTCGGTACCAACCATATGTGTACAGCAACACACCTGTTTATGTTAGCACCAAACGTTTAAGTTTTGTTTCACATTTTTATTTCCCCACCCCCGCCACCACCACCTTATCAGATTTCACACCCCACCCCCATCAAGAACCATCGGGAACAAGCTCATCGCATTCTGCGCGCGAGAGGCACACGATTCGACACGAGCGCCCCCTACGTGGCAGAGTGCTGCCTAATTTGGAAGACAACTCCAGCCAAGCGGGATTACCCGATGCTGAAGGTGTGGCTCTGGGTAAAGTGCGACCCAGCGCACCTCATCTAAATACAAATCCAATCTTATTCATTTTTTTTTCGTTTTTTTTTCTTTTAACGAAAAAAACAATTGCACATACATAACTTTTAAATCTTTGGAAACATCGTATGTTTTAATTCATGCGGTAAAAAATACAATACAGAATAGATTTCAAGAGTAAATAATTAACCAAGTTTACCCTCTTTTTGCATTTTCTTATTTAAATATAGTACAAGAAGCAATTATCGTCAACACCGTTATCTTTGGCGGGTAAACAACAGAGGTAACAACTGTAAACACAGAAAGCGATGACGTATTGTGGTAAAACAACAACATGTGATTCTCATTTCGGAGATGATTTTTCCAAAACTTCCCGATGCCTACAAGCGATAAAAAATGGCTGACACCCCTGCATCTTACGTACGTCGAGTACAAAAGTTGAAATGGCGGGCTGAAGCGATGTGAAATTGTTGAGATGCCCCACTCTTCACCTGGACATTGCCGTCAGAAGCAACAAAAGGGCAAACGTCGGTAAGAAGGGCTTTCTTTGTTTGCCCGTGGAATGGCTAGCAGCAATAAACGAAAGGGAAACACGAAGAAAGCGACAGCCTTCATTCCAAGAATGTATGTTGTGTAGGTAAACACTGGGAGATAGGTCCTGGCTAGCTGTGTTGGGGCGTTTTCTGTATGTACACATACACGAACACTAGACGAGTACACATATACATAAACACAATACGTGTACACACTTACATAAACACAAGACGCGTACACACTTACATAAACACAAGACGTGTACATTAAAACTAGGTGTATCCACGAAAATCAGGTGTGTTCGTTTTTAAATATTACATAAAAAGGTAAAAACATATTTTGCATGTATTTGGCATTTAAAGATAATTGTTTTACCATAAAAACGTTGACACGTATGATATCAAGTCATGCTATGAAAATGTTGAGATGGAAACATACAACGGGCTAGTGTAAGAGAGCGCCCATCTGGAAATACATCGCCTATATTTGGGTGCTGATATCTAGATTGGTTGAAGCACCGATCTCAAGGTTCACAGCATACAAGTGGATGTCTGGCTACAGGATCAAGGCTCACAGCATACAAGTGGATGTCTGG